TGATGGATTTACTCATATTTGTGTTTCAGTCAATTAACAGTGATCACTCGATGCTCACATTGTCCCATCTATAGGCTGTTCAGATTGACTTCTGAATCCTTTTGAATAACTCCACTAATCCTTGTAATGTCTTTGCAACCTGGTATGACAAAATGTTCCAGACCCATCTTGTACATGTCCTGTCCCAGACCTGGATTCAGCCATTTCTGAGGAGCCCTGGTTCCTTTTAATGGGAATAGTATTAAGAAATCAGAATGTCAATCTTGTGTGTACTAATTGCTAATGTGTGGGTCACTTTTCTAGGACAATTCTGTGGATACAGCTTAAAAAAAAAACAAGCAGGTTTTTTGGAAGATAAAATGCATTGTATGTTTATATTGATTATTCCAGTTCAAATTGGGTTTTTATTGAGCCTCTTCAATTTTACATTTTTATCTTTTCCCCTATGCCAAGCTAATACAGGATGATAAAACTATGATATTACATAATAACTCATTTGAATTATCCCATAATAAATACAGAACAGTCTCAGAATAGTAGTAGCACCACCAGTGTGATTCCTAAAAACAGCTGTTTGTTTGCCTTATGTAGTTCTCTTTTGTATTTAGGGTGTATCACACTAGGGATTTACAGTCAAATTCTTGTGTTTTAAAGTTACTTGGAATGATTCTTTGTGTGGTTATGCCACCAAGTGGATGCACACTTTCGTTCATTTGTTTCTTTTTATTTTTTGAGGTTACTTAAAAAAATTTTTACTTCTTAATTATATGAAATACAGGTTTTAAAGACAAGCTGAAAAAGCAAGATATATTCTAAGAAGTCTAGCTTGTAGTCGTCAACATTCTACCCTATTCCTTCTTACCTATAGATAAACTTAAAAGAAGTCTTTTCATGCATGTTGGTCTAGATATGTTTCAGTGCGTATGTGTATATGTATGTGTGTTCACATGACCTCTTTGATAGAAGAATGATAAAGTACACTATACATGCCTTTCTCTACCTTGCTTCTTTTCTCTTTACATGTACTAGCAGTTATTCCATATTGAAATATTTATTTTGTGGATATATCATAGAATAAATGCATACATAATTTTACTAGATATTGTTACAGTTCCCTCTAGTAGTTATACCATTTTGCATTCTCTCCAGCAGTGTATGAATGTACTTGCTTCCCCATAGCCTTGTCAACAGACTATGTTGTTAATGAAATGTTTCTCCTTGTCCCTGGTTAGCTTCCTTGTTCTGCAGTCTTTGAGAGCAGTGCTCTTTGTTGTGGTGCGTGGACTTCTCACTGCGGTGGCTTCTCTTGTTGCGGAGCACGGGCTCTAGGCACGCAGGCTTCAGTAATTGTGGCGTGCGGGCTCAGTAGTTGTGGCTTGTGGGCTCTGGAGCGCAGACTCAGTATTTGTGACACACGGGCTTAGTTGCTCTGCAGCATGTGGGATCTTCCTGGACCAGGGCTCGAACCCGTGTCCCCTGCATTGGCAGGCGGATTCTTAACCACTGTGCCACCAGGGAAGTCCCAGTTCTCTCATTCTTTCATTCTTCCCTCCCTCCTTCGTTCCCTCCCTCCCTTCCTTCCTTCCCTGTAAATGTTCCTGGGACTTAATATTTAAAATAAATACCTTGTAAATATCCTATAGGTTGAGTTTGGTCTTTGTTTTGTTTTTGTTGGTTTGTTTTGATTTTGGTTGTTTTAATCCAATTTGACACACTCTCTCAATTGGAATGTTTATACCATTTACTATTTAATGTAACTGTTGATACAGGGGTTTAAAGCTGCCATCTTAATATATGTTCCCATTTCTTTCTATGTCTGCCCTCTTTGAGGCTGACTGTTTTTAATGATTTTTATTTTATTGGCTTATCTGTGTTCAAATAAAATTATACCCCTTAATGTATATTGTAAAAATCTTGCAGCAGTATACTTCCATGCCTTCCCCCTCCAGGCTTTTGTGCTTTTGTTGTCGCACATTTTTTTCTATATATGTTATAAATGCTACAATATGTTACTGATATTTTTGCCCTAAACACTTTGATATATCTCCGGGTAACAATAGCATATTTCTTTGATTTGTACACATATATTTACCTTTTTTGCCATTCTTCATGTTTTGGATATCCATCCATATTTTCAGCTGGTATCATTTTTGTTCCTGAATAACTTTAATGTTTCTTAGAGTATAATTCTCCTTACAATTAATTATCTTAGCTTTTCTTTGTCTGAAAAAGTCTTTATTTTGTCTTCATTCTTAAAGTATTTTTGCTCGGAATAGAATTCTAGGTTGAGAGTTCTTTTGGTTTTCAGTACCTAAAAGATGTCACTCTCTTATTTTCTGGACTGCATAGTTTCTGATGAAAAGTGATCTTTCATTCTTTGTTCCTCTATACATAATATGTCTTCTCTGACTGGTTTTGAGATTTTTTTTTTTATCGCTGTTTTCACCAAATTGATAATGATGTGCCTTGGAATGGTATACTTAATGTTTCTTCTGCTTGAGGTTTATTGAGATTCTTGGGACTGTGGGTTTATTTTCATCATATTTGGAGTTGTTTTGGTAATTCTTTCCTTCTTTTTTTTTTTTTTTTTAATGTTCTCCCCTTCTCACCCCCTTGGTTTCTGGGACTCCAATTGCATGTATTTTTGACTACTTAATATTGTCTTAGAGGTCACTGATGTGCCATTCTTATTTTTTTTCCTGTCCCCCCCCTTTTGTTTTATTTTGCATAGTTTCTATTGCTATGTCTTCAAGTTCACTGATCTTTTCTTCTATAAGATATATAATCTGCTTTTATTCTATGTATATATTTTTAATTTGAGGTATTATATTTTTCATATTCAGTAGTTCCATTTGGGTCTTTTTAATATATATATTTCACTTCTGTCCTCATCATGTTCATGTTTTCTTCTTACCTTCATGAGCATATGGAGCATATTTATAACAACTGTTTTTATGTCTTTGCTAATTCTGTCACCTGTGCCATTTCTGGGACTGTGTCTATTGATTAATTTTGTCCTGATTATATATTTGAAGGTCTTTCTGCTGTGGCTGCTGGAAACATGAATTGCTACCAGCCCTGTGTGTGGTAGGGAGTTTTTTGGCCTACTCTTTCTAACATTCTTTTCCTGGTCTTAGGTAGTTTTTGCTCTTGCATGACGCTGATCATTATTCAGCCAGAGACTCAGGGATACCCCTCTTCAGATCTACAGAACTCAAGCTCCCTTTCTTTCTTTGTAGCTCCCTCCTCTGGTGCTTTGCTGTAGAAAGTATAGCTCCCTTGGCCTCCCTGAATTCTCATTCCTGTCTCCCTCAACTGCATGCAACCACCAGGCTCTATTTGGGTCTCTACTTCTCCTTGTACTGCAGTCTGGAAACTACCTCCTTGCAGTAATTGGGGGCAGATGTAGGGCTCCTCTAGTTTGTTTCCCATCTTTTACGGATTTTTGCACTGCGCTTCCTATTGTCCAGTGTCTGAAACCATTAACATATTATCTTGTTTTCTACTTGTTTAAGGTAAAAGAGTAAACCCAGTCTCAGATATACTGTCCTAATCTGAAGCAGAAGTCCTCTGAGTATAGTTTTTTTTTTTTTTTTGCGATACGCGGGCCTCTCACTGTTGTAGCCTCTCCCGTTGCGGAGCACAGGCTTCGGACGCGCAGGCTCGGAGGCCATGGCTCACTGGCCCAGCCGCTCCGTGGCATGTGGGATCTTCCCCGACCGGGGCACGAACCCGCGTCCCCTGCATCGGCAGGCGGACTCTCAACCACTGCGCCACCAGGGAAGCCCTCTCTGAGTATAGTTTTAATTTGTATTTATATATGTTTTTAAAGGAGTGAAGGTAAACATCTGTTCACACATAACAGGGTAATTTGTTTATCTTCTTTTGAAGAGCTTTCTACTCTGTTAAATCCAACCCATTTTTCTGTGATATTGTTGGTCTTTTCATTCTCTAGTTGTAGGTGTTTACATTTTAGGGATATTAACCCTTTCTCTATGACATGAAATGCAAAGTTTCCCTTCAGTTTGTCATTTATTTTTTTTTATTATATTTTGCTTTTGGTATCTTTTCTGAGACTTTGATATTATTAAAATGAATTATTTTATCTCTAATTTTTTTTTTCTACTGGAGCACTGGGTTGTTATTGGGGAAGGAGGAGGATTCAGAAGTTGCTTTCACTGTGAGATGTATTCATAATAGTTGAGCTAAGAGATTCTGCTTTATTCAGGATTTTAAGTTTTTATATAGTGGTATGATATGATACGCAAATGTTCTTCCAGGTAGCTATATGACCCATTCCCTACCTCTTTCAGAACTCTGCTCCAATGTTACTTTATAAGCACATCTATAAGCACCCTATTTAAAATTGTAACACTGTCACACACTTAGCCCCATTCCCTATTTCTGTCTTCTTTTTCTTCTTCTGCTTCTTTTTTTCCCTTTACAGGAGTTATCACAATTTGACATAACATATGTTTTGGTAATTTATGTATAATCATGTGTCTTATCCCTAATATGCTGGTAGCATGAAGGCAAGGATTTGGGACTTTTAATAGTGCCTGGCACTATAGTAAGTGCTCAATTTGTGTTGGTTAAATGATCAAATTTCTGTTCATGTAGGTTGTTTTGGCACAAAGTAAAAAGTGAATTGGAAGAGGAAGAGCCTGGAGAAAGAAGGTGTAAGGTGGCAGAAGCTTAGCTGAAGTGGTACCAGTGAGAATGAAATAGAAAAGGCTAAAGGAATGACATTAAAAAGAAGAAATGGGTCACCATCCTTGTTTGTTTTTATAATTATTAAGTAAAAAGGAAAAAATACTTGTATTTGGATTATATTTTTAACATAGATATTTATAAAGCGAAATTATAGGTTGAAAATGTCTGAGTAGATGTTATGACTTTTTGGTTCTTACAAAACATTACTTAAAAAATACAAGCTATCTAGTGGAAGTCATGTTGTTTTTTCTGGTTAATTGTTTTTCTTTAATTTTTTTTTTTTTTAGAGCTTTGCTTCCTGTTTTACATCACAAATCTAAGAAAGGACCCCCCCGTCAAGCCAAATATGCTATTCATTGTATCCATGCAATATTTTCTAGTAAAGAGACACAGTTTGCACAGATATTTGAGGTAAAGAGAAAAGTTTTTTGTTTGTTTCATGTTATAGTTAAAAAACAAATATGAATGATTTTATAGGATGTTCACATTTGGAGATGTATCATTTTATAGTTTATTTTCAGAATTTGAATTAATATATTCAATATTGATGGGTGATTAAAATCAGAAAATATCTGATTATTCAGATGTTTAATGCTAACTCAGATTCAGAAATCAAACAGTTGTATAATATTTTTTGACATTACTTTATACATTTAGTATTAGGAAACTATTTTTCATTAGTAAGTAATTACATATAAAATCCTACTTACTGATAGTAGGTAGTAGATGATTATCAGTTTACAGATTTGAAAGTTAGATTTCTATATATGAGATACTACTGAAGTGTGGGGTTCTATAAATCCATACTAATTTGTAATGTAAGGTAAGTAAGTATAAGTTTGTACTTCAGTGACTGACATAATTTTATGTCAGATTAAAATGTGCCTTTTCCCTTGCAGAGCATTTGGTCCACACCAAAAGGTCCTTGATATTTTGGTGCTCTCCAGAATGTCTGTGGGCATATTTGGTCCATGCCAAATGGTTTTGGACAGGACCAAATATGAACAAATATCGAGGACCTTTGTGTGTAGACCAAGTGTCTTATGGATGTATTGGATAGGACCAAATGTCTACTGACCATCTTTTCAATATGTATTTTATATTATTTTTTTTGTACTTGGAATTACTATTACCCTTTCTAAGCATTGCAATTTCATTACAAGCTATTATGATCAGGGGCTGTCTTTAGCATTCTTCCTGCAAATAGAAGCTAAGCAGAAAATCTATAAAATCCTAACTTATAATTTTAGTTTAGGAGCTTTGAATGAAGTCAAAACAATTTGGAAATTATGCTGAAACTAACCCACCATAAATACTTAGACTTGTTATCTCTGTTTTAGAAATATTTATGCTAATTTTGTCATATTTTCATATATTATGTTAAAGACCTAAAGGAGGAAAAAAAGTTTATTAAACAGCATCTTTGCTATAGATAGCAAATAGTAATATATTTTAAATTTGGGGGTGGGAATACTTTCTATAGTCTTTTTTTTTAATAAGAGGATGACTTCAATGAACTCATGTTGATTTCTAGAAAGCTTTTGTTTTTCTTGAATAATCTCCTTTTTGTTCCTTCCAATGATGATGATGAGGAGGATAATGCTGATAATAACTTGAATTTTTAGGGTACTTTTATTTTCATTTTTGATATCTGTTACTTATCTTTATGAGAACCTAACTGGTAATCCTTCTACTATGACATACAGGATTGGCTGGCTTTCTGAGAAAAGGTTTCATAGAGACATATGGCCTTTATGAGGTTACTGTTAATCGAGGGACTGGCCATTTATTTTGCATTTTCAGAAATGATTTTATTATCTTACTGTGGAAAATTGTCACACATTATAATAAATGAATTGAAAAAAGTACACTATCAGGTATTTGTTTATAATGTAAACAAGTTATCACTTAGATGTGCAATGGAGGTACTGAGGGAGGTCATCAAGAATAGCAAGAAGTAAACTCATTTAAATATACTTATGACTAAGCCTCTCATATTGCCCCAATGTGTTGGGAAGAACAGTTTTTTGTTGTTTTTCAAGCCTAGAATTCTTGGTGTTTAGTGTAGGAGGATAGAGCATCAATTCTTCATTAAAATGTGTCATTAAAATTTTTAATAGATAATATATTCACTTGCTTCAGAATCAAAAGATACAAAACAAATATCCAGTAAACTAAATACTAAAGAGTAAAGAGTTTTCTCTTTTGCTTCACCCCCATATCCCCAGCCACCCAGTTTCTTAGAGGCAGCCAATGTTATCAGTTTCTAATGTACTTTTCTGGAGAGATTTTATTCATATGCAAGTAATATAAATACACAAAATACACACATATTTTATCCCTTCTCCCTCTCCTTATGCCAATGATCTTGTAGTCACTCTTCTGATTTTCAATGTAGTCACTCTTCTGATTTTCCTATTTAAAAAATTTAACAATATATTTTAGGTATCAATTTATTATGTGAGTATATAAGGAGCCTCATTCTTTTGTCATGGCAAAATGAATATTAATGGCTGGGTTTCCTATTAGAATAATAAAAATAATTTTATTAGTTATGGTACTTAATATTTGATGCTATAAAAATCCACAAAAATCCATGTGACTATATATAATAAAACTTATTTCTTGGTCCTGAAAAAAGTCTAATTGGGTGCTTTGATTGTATTCTAATCAGTGGCTTAGGCACACAGACCCTTTTTGACTAGTGGCTTCTCTTTGAGTCCCACTGGATCCTTGGTATTAAGACAGCCAGTGAGTAAAGAGGGAGAATGTGGAGAAGAAACATTGCTCATATCTGCCTCAGTACAGGCATGGCATACCTCACTTTCATTCCCATTCTGGTAACCAGAACTTATTCACATCCTCACCTAACTGCACATATAGGCATCCTTGAATGGAAGTGGATATTGGTGAGCCTTAGCAGTCTCTAACATACTTATATATGTGGTCATAAAATATATGATACATAATATGATTCTTCATGCTGAAATGTTCTTTACCTAACCTCTAAAATATAACTTGGGCAAAACTGAAAATATTTAAATATGATGCCTTCTACATAAATAGCCTATAAAAGTTTAAATGTAAGCTTGAGCTACTACTTAAACCATGTATTGGAACTTTTGTAGTTTTTAAAATTTGAAGGTGAAATATGTGAACAGCTCATTTGCATGTTTATGGAGTTGATCATTTTCCTTTCCTCATTTTCAGCCTCTGCATAAGAGCCTGGATCCAAGCAACCTGGAACATCTCATAACACCGCTGGTTACTATTGGTCATATTGCTCTCCTTGCACCGGATCAGTTTGCTGCTCCTTTGAAGTCTTTGGTAGCTACTTTCATTGTGAAAGATCTTCTCATGAATGATCGGGTAATTTTTATTTTTCAGTTGTGTTTTCTTCATAATGCTATCTTCTAAAATTTTATGCATCAAAGAGAGAAGTGAAATGATGTAAATAACACTTCAATTTGGCTGACTTATTTTAGGTTTTCCTATCTTTTTCACATGCTGTATCTCCATTGTAAGTGAAACAACATTGAAACATCTCTTTAGTTGAGCATAGGACTATGACCTGGAATACTTTGCTTCATAAATACAAAATATTACCTGATTCTGTCTATTTCAACTTTATAGGGGTTTAATTTTTATAATGACATCTTTTTTTAAAAATGTGAAGACTGACAAGTTAGTTTATAGTATGGTTGTTAGGATAGTAGTTGTTGCATTTCATACGTACAAGAGAGAATTAAAAAAGCCTTGGGAGAAAACATTGGGAAAGAAATAGTGATTTTCTCTGTCTCCATTATGTGAGTATTTGGGGTAGGGCATGGCATGTTGGGTCTTAGAGAATTGACCCCTTACAGTTATGTGGAGTTTTATGCACGTCTTTGTGTTTTTAGATATATACACATATGTGTGAAAAGAAAACCTTAAAACTAGGATTTTCAGAATGGTAAATGAGCATTGGCTTCAGTTTGAAGTCACGAGCTGCATTAGCCCCCTAACAAGAGAGTAGGCCTGTCCTTTTGAAGCTTTGAAGCCAAGCATTCACTTCTCTCTGGCTATGAAAGTTCTAGACGGCATCTTCTTCCAGTAGAAGATTGTTTTCTGTGTTGAAAATCTGTTGTTTAGCATAGCTACCTTAATTAATGATCTTAGCTAGATGTTCTGGATAACTTGCTGCAGCTTCTGCATCAGTACTTGCTGCTTCACCTTGTACTTCTATGTCATAGAGATGGCTTCTTTCTTTAAATATTATGAACCAACCTCTGCTAGCCTCAGATTTTTCCTCTGCAGCCTCGTCACCTCACCAAGTCTTCACAGAATTGAAGAGAGTTAGGGCCTCGCTCTGGATTAGGCTTTGTCTTAAGGGAATGTTGGGCTGGTTTGATCTCCTCTCCAGTCCACTAAAACTTTCTCCATATCAGCAATAAGGGTGTTTTGCTTTCTTATCATTACGTGTTCACTGGAGTAGCACTTTTAATTTCCTTCAAGAACTTTCCCTTTGCATTCACAACGTGGCTAACTGGCACAAGTGGTGTAACTTTCAGCTGATTGCAGCTTTTGACATGCCTTCGTCACTAAGCTTGATCATTTCTAGCTTTTGATTTAAAGTGAGAGATGTGCAATGCTTCCTTTCACTTGAACAGTTTATAGAGGCCATTGTAGGGTTATGAATTGGCCTAATTTCAGCATTGTTGTGTCTCAGGGAATTGGGCGGCCTGAGGGAGAGGGAGAGAGATGGGGGAATGGCCAGTCTGTAGAGCAGTCAGAACACACACATATACTAATTAAGTTCGCTATGTTATGTGGGAGTGGTTCATGGCACCTCAGAACAATTACAATAGTATCATTAAAGATCGCTGAGCGGGCTTCCCTGGTGGCACAGTGGTTGAGAGTCTGCCTGCCGATGCAGGGGAGACGGGTTCGTGCCCCGGTCCGGGAGGATCCCACATGCAGTGGAGCGGCTGGGCCCGTGAGCCATGGCCGCTGAGCCTGCGCGTCCGGAGCCTGTGCTCCGCAACGGGAGAGGCCACAACAGTGAGAGGCCCGCGTACCGGAAAAAAAAAAAAAAGATCGCTGATCGCTTATCACCATAACAAATATAATAATAATGAAATCATTTGGAATATTGCAAGAATTATGAAAATGTGACACAGAGACATGAAGTGAGCAAATGCTGTTGGAAAAATAGCACTGATGGACTTGCTTGACACAAGCCTTCAGTTTGTAAAAAATGCAGTATCTGTGAAGCCTAATGAAACAATTTTTGTCTGTATACAAAAAGTATGTCAGAGAGCTGGGTCACAGTAAAAAAAAAAAATTGTATATTTAGAGTGTAATTAGAACTACAGCAAGAGAGGAAAGAGAATATGAAGCAGAAATAGTATTTGAAGTGATAATGCCAGAAAATTTTTCAAAATTTATGAAAGACATCAAAGCTATACATTCAAGATCAGGTAGAAGCCCCAAATAGGATAAATATAACACAGAGCACACCCAGATACATCATAGTAAAACTGGAACCAATCAAAATAGAAAAGATTAAAAGCATTTACAGCAAAAAGACAGAAAACCTTCAAAGGGACAAGGCTGTCACTTGACTTCAAAAGAAAAGATAAGAAAATGGAAGATAATGGAATAATATCTTCAAATTATCGAGTGGAAGAAATGTACCAATCTAGAATTCTAAACCTGGAGAAAATATCCTTTAAAAAGGGAAGGCAAGGGCTTCCCTGGTGGTGCAGTTGTTGAGAGTCTGCCTGCTGATGCAGGGGACACGGGTTCGTGCCCTGGTCCGGGAGGGTCCCACATGCCGTGGAGCCGCTGGGCCCGTGAGCCATGGCCGCTGAGCCTGCGCATCTGGAGCCTGTGCTCTGCAGCTGGAGAGGCCACAGAGGTGACAGGCCTGTGTACCGCAAGAAAAAAAAAAAAAAGGGAAGGCAAAATAAAGACATTTTCAGACAAACAAAAACTGAAAGAGTTCATTAGCAGTTATCCCAGCTAAAAGAATTTCTACTTTAATTCTTTGGGTAGAAAGCAAATTGTCACAGAGACAAAACAGAGTGAAAAACAAGAGAAAGAGGAAAATATGTTGGTAAGTCTAAATAAATATTAACTGCATAAAATTAGAACAATAATGGTCCTGTGTGAACAAGAGCACAGTAAGCATCGGAGTATAAAGGGAGTTGACGTATTTTAAGTTTTCTTAGAATACTGAACCTACTACTGTTCTGAAAGTTTAAGACAGAATTATTGAAATTGGCCTTCAGTAAGTTAAGGCCACTACTCTCTAGGACAGCTACTAAAAGAATAGGAAAATATAAAACGAATAAGCCAGTAAAGAGGAGAATGGAATAAAAATATTTAACCAAAAATAAGGCAAGAAGAAAATGAAAATGAACACAGAACTGATAGAACAAACTGAAAAAACATCAGGTGGCAAATTTTTATTTTATTTTTGGGGGGGGGGCAGTTTTTTAAAAAATTAATTATTATATTTTGGCTGCCTTGGGTCTGTTGCTGTGTGCGGGCTTTCTCTAGTTGTGGCGAGCAGGGGCACTCTTCGTTGCGGTGCGCGGGCTTCTCATTGTGGTGGCTTCTCTTGTTGCGGAGCACGGGCTCTAGGCATGCGGGCTTCCGTAGTTCTGGCACGCGGGCTCAGTAGTTGTGGCTTGCGGGCTCTAGAGCGCAGGCTTAGTAGTTGTGGCACACGTGCTTAGTTGCTCTGCGGCATGTGGGATCATCCTGGATCAGGGCTTGAACCCGTGTCCCCTGCATTGGTAGGTGTATTCTTAACCACTGGACCACCAGGGAAGTTCCTCAGGTGGCAATTAATCCTAATCACTATTTACATAACATGTAAGCAGAATATGCTAATTAAATACAAAGTTGACAGAAAGTGTGTCAGAACTGGGTTGTGTACAGTTCTATATATGACATTTAGAAGTCTTCAAGTCTTCTATTAGTTACTGTTACTCTGTCTTTTCCCCCTGAGATTGGGAACGGGATAAAAATATCCCCTATCACCACTTGTGTTGTTTTGAAAGTTCTGGCCATTCTAGGAGGAAGAAAGAGAATTAAAATCCATTAAGAATGAAGGGAAAAAAAAGCTGTTATTACTATGAATGGAGTAAACCTAAAAGAATGCAAAAGCTAATAGAATTAAAAATTGTCTTTAACAAGGTCCCCTGATTCAAAGTCAGTATAAAAAAGAAGTAACTTTATATTTCTATGCCAATAATAAACAATTAGAAAATAAATATTAAAAATTACATTTACAGTAACGTCAAAAACCGTTAAATGCCTAGGAATATACTTAAGAAAGGTAAGCAATACCTCTACACAGATGTTTAAGAAACATTCCTCAGTGAAGTTAAAGGCCACCTAAGGTATATACTGTCTTCATGAAATGAAAAGGTCAGGATTATAGTACCATGGAATGGGATAGTGATAGTATAATGATGAAAATTATTTGCAGATTTACAGTTCAATACAATATGTACAGTTCTAGCCAGATGTGTGTGTATATGTTGGCGTAGAGTGGTATAGGGAGAAGAGACAAGCTGATTGTAAGATTTCAATAGAAATGCAAAAGGCATAGCCAAAATCATCTTGAAGAAGATGATGATGATGAAGTAGTCATAGTAGGAGGAGGAACAGCAGCAGCAGAAGTCATCATTAAAGACATTTGGAGGACTTAAGCTACTAGATATCACACCTTGTTATAGTAATTAAGAAAGTGTGAAACATAATCGATTATACACATATGATTTAGAACAAAAGTAAGAGTAACATCCTAGAGAACTTCCTAATACTGGATTTGGCAGTATATCCCTACATGAGAAATCAAAAGCACAAACACTAAAAAAAATAAAAACCAAAAACAGATAAATTGCACTTCATCAAAATGTAAAACTCTTGTGCATCAAAGGGCATTATCAAGAAAGTGAAACCATTAACAAAATGAAGAGGAAACCTACTGAGAGAAAATATTTGCAAATCATGTATCTGATAAGGGGTTAATATCCGTATTATATAAATGACACATATAACTCAATAGCAAAAAAACAATTTGATTAAAAAATAGGCAGAGACATTTTTTCAAAGAAGATAAACAAATCATCAACAATTATATAAAAGGTGCGCAACATCAGTAATCATCAGGGAAATGCAAATCAAAACCACAATAGGATAGGACCTCACTCCTGTTAGATTGGCTAATATAAAAAAGACAAATAACAAGTGTTGGTGAGGATGTGGGAATATAAATTGTTGGTGGCGGGAATTTGATGTAGCCACCATGAAAAACAGTATGGAGGATCTTCCAAAAATTAAAAATCGGAAAAAAAAGTTATAAATAGAAGTAC